TTTGAGTTATTAATTTACATTTTTTGTCAAAGAGATGCTGATTTGAAACCGTTGTTACATAGTTACGGCATTTCCTGTTTCTGCCGGAGAGAGGGGAGTTTGTCCCAAAGCTTGACGCTGTATTTACTCCCTCCATCTGACAAACGGGAGCCTGTCTGTCTTCAGACTTGTTAAAGCATTAATTCATGGTTTTTACTAACCGGTGTCAGTATGTTGTTACTTCGGCATCATTTCTAAACGTGTATTACAATTAAATCACGGTAAAATAGGTTCATTTTGTTGTAGTTGCCAGCGATTCTCTCACTAGTTTAGCATACTCAGCCCGGTTGTTGGCCCGGAAAGAACCTCGATTTTGGAGAGCCAGAAAACTGAAAAAGTACCCGCTAGCCGGATCTACGCCTAGTGGAAACGCAGCCAAAAACGGGTTCCGTTTTCGCTTAAACCACGCTCTGCGCTGTAGTGGAAAAGCGCCATATCTGGCAACATGGTAACAACATGGCCACCCTCCGGCCAGACCTCCTATTTTGCCTCAACATTTATCCAGTTGACAGTTGATACATTTGGTGTACTAAGCCATACAGCCTTACAACTTACTTGGAACCCAGTAAAGTTAAAAAGTAATTCAAGTAAACCACACCTTCACGAAGTGCAAAATTAAAGTGATGAACACATTAATGCACAAATAATTTATACATTAAAAAATAAATAATTAAGAAATATCTGCTCAAAATGTCCATTCGGCATAAATACTTTTGGTACTCAAAGTAGCTGGTTGTGATAATACTTGTTTACTTTTAACTTAAGTACAATTCTGAATGCATGATGTGTACTTGTAACTGAGTACTTTTACACTACTTTTTCTTTAGTAAATAATCGGAGTAGAAGAGTACTTCTTCCACCACCGTACTTCTTCCACCACAATGATATTGCTTTGGTTGTATATATGCAAAAATAAACATAGCAAGATAAATAAAATAGAAGAAGAAAATACAATGTAGAAAAGAACATGTAGATTATAACATATATTAAAAAATACAAGAAAAAAATGTGTGAAATGTAGATTATTAAACAATGGAAGAGCTGTGCAGTTTTAAGGAGTGAAAACAACGATTCTGTAGATCAGGGATGGGCAAATGGCGGCCCCCGGGCATGCCACCCTCCTCTTTTTGCAGCCCCAGATTCATTTATAAACAACGTAATTAAAGCTAAAAACATGCCTTGGGCCGCAAATTGGTCAGGGCCGGCCCTGCTCAACCCATTGCCCCACACGCCTCCCTTAGGTTCAAGTTAGAGAACTAATGTCTTGGTTAGTGTTCATGACTTCATGTTTATGTCATCTTTATGGTGCATCTAAATGCACACACATTTTCCGTGCTTTCCAATAGTTTAAAATAGTTTTATTCCACTGTTAAATAACCTGTTCAATACAAACATGCCACTTGTAAAAATTAAATAACATTTATGTGAACTGATATTTGTTTAGTGAGCTTATTAGAGG